TTTCCACTTTATTATCGCTTTCTGGTCCACGTGTGATAACGTCCATAAGCTGAGGCCCTTGTGGAGAACCCTGGATTGGTGGCAGTGAGGGTGGGAAAGCAAAAGCAGACAGCTGGGAATTCATTTGGTCTCACAACAACTATATAACAGGAAAGGATTTAGTGGGGAGGGAGTCGAGATGTTTATGTGTCACTGAGGGAGAGGCACATCAGTGCATACAGATTAAAACTGATAGCCTGAGGAATCTATGGCTCTTCAGATGATATCAGACAATAACTACCATTATTGGCCATGTTGTATAGGGCTGCATCTACACTGCAGAATTAATACAGTTTGATACCACATTAAATGTCATGACAATACTATGGCATTCTGAGATTTATAGTTTTAGCCTTCTTTATTAGAGAGCTCTGGTGCCACAACAAACTCTAATTCTCAGGATTCCATCAGATGGAGCCATGGCAGTTAAAGCAGTGTCAAACTGCATTAATTCTGCAGTGTGGCAACAGCCTGGAACTGGTGGTAGTTGGAAGCCAACAGCAAGATCTGGAAGGGTAAAGGTGCCAAATGGAGACTTTGAGGGAATGGCATTGGTGCTGTAATAAAATGTAAGTCTTCAAATAGAATTTCCCCAAATTCTCCAAACATTCAAAAAGGATATTGAGAAGCTGGAGCGTGTCCAAAGGAAGGCAAACAAATGGTGAAGGGTCTGGAAAGCATGCCCTGTGAGGAGAGACTTAGGGAGTTGGGTATGTTTAGCCTGGAGAAGAGATGGTTAAGGGGTGATATAATAGCCCTGTTTAAACATTTGAATGGATGTCATGTTGAGGATAGAGTAAGCTTGTTTTCTGATGCTCCAGAGAATAGGGCCCAGAGCAATGGATTCAAACTACAGGAAATGAGATTCCACCTCAACATTAGGAGGAACTTCCTGACAGTAAGAGCTGTTCAACAGTGGAAGACGCTCCCTTGAAGAGTGGTGGAGTCTCCTACTTTGGAGGTTTTTAAACATAATAATAATAATAATAATAATAATAATAATAATAAT